GCTCCCATGATCCGAAATGTGGTGCAGGAGCAAATTTTCGAGGCTATGCAGGTGCCTTTTAGCAGCCCCCCCCCCTCCGCCTCCGTCACCGTGCCTCTTACTTACACTGAGGCACTAAAGCGGCAGCAGCCACACCAGCCCCCAACGTTCTAGAGACTGCCGCATACCTCTGCCCTGACTCAGCTGTCCACAGCCTCAACTCATCTGTCCGCCACATGGGCTGCTCCCTTCACCGCAAATGCCAAGAGAACGCGCGATGACCGGCCCATCTGTTTTGCGTACGGCGGTACTGGCCATATCGCCCGGTACTGCCGTCGTCGCGTGCCGGGATACACAGACACCCGGGCAGAGAACAGCTTCATGAACCTTCCTCCATCTCGTTTACAAAATTCGGATCCTCAGTGAAGCTCGTCTTTACGCGAATATCCGTGAACTCTGTCTGGTTGCTCACCTTCACCCCGTCGTCGCTCCCTGTCACCCGTGCATCATTGGCCAGCACCTGAACTCGAGGAAAACTAACAGCCACCGCTCAGGAGGCAAGAACTGCGCTATTCAAATGCTTGCAAGTCCTCAAACATTGCCATCGAATATTGTTGAAGTTTTTTGTAGAAGGTACTCAGGCATATGCTCTAGTTGATACCAGTGCGGCCGTTTCCGTGATAGACGCCAAACTATTCCGCAAGCTCCGAAAAGTGACTACACCTCTTGATATGATGTCCTTGTAAACAGCGAATGCGGAACTTGTTTGGCCTGTAGCCGCCTGTACTGTCTGACTGATCATCGCGAAGGACCACTACATTGTTGATTTTATTGTTCTCTCATCATGCTCACCCGACTTTATACTTGATGGAATTTTTTATCGCGTAACCACGCCGTTATTGATTGTGCAAGATGTGAACTAGAACTGTTCCCATTTTACGACAAACCAACCAACCACATTGAGCCCACCGTACACAAACTCGCCGTCAAAGAAGGCGCTGAAATTCCTCCGACAGCAGCTGTGTTGCTCCCCATGTTCTGTGATGGCATTAAGGACGAAGCTGCATTCTTTGAACGATCAAGCCTCTCGCTTAGTCAAAAGTCACTTGTTTTGCCTTATTCAGCCCTCTCCTTTTATGAAGGCAACAGTGCTCTCTGCCTCATCAATCCCCTTCCATTTCCCGTAAAACTGTTTCGTGAATCTTTTGGACACGTGCATGTCATTGACAAAGAATAAATTTTAACCATGCCGCCACATTGTGCCGGTGACTGCGATGCAATCAGTGCCATCAACCCTTCCAGTGTACTCCCTTCGAGCTCTTCAATTCATCGATCACCGACGGACTATCGCCATCCTAACGATCTGAGCTTCTCCAGCTGCTCTACCAGTTCCGTAAATCCTTTGACGTTGCTTAATCAACTTTTGGCCGACCTTCCCATCTTTTTCACTACATTGACACAGGTTCCAACGCGCCAGTATCACAGCAACCATACCGTGTTTACGCCGCCGAACGTCAGGTTATCACAGGTTGACGATATGCTCAAGCGCGACCTTATCCGACCTTCCCAAAGTCTATGGACATCACTTGTCGTTCTTGTTAAGAAGAAGGATAGTTCAATTCGCTTCTGCGTGTATTAGTGGCGCTTAAATGAGATTACTCGCAAAGACGTGTACCCTTTGCCTAGGATTGATGACGCCCTTGATTGCTTACAAGGTTCCGAGGCTTTTTTCATGGTTAGATTTGCGTTCGGGGTACTGGCAGGTCCCCTTAGCAGATTCCAATCATCCAAAAACAGCCTTCGTGACACCGTACTGGCTATATGAGTTCATGCCCTTGCGCCTCTGCAGTGTGCCGACCACAATTGAGTGGATGATGGACTCAATTATGCGGGGTTTGAAGTGAAATATATGCCTCTGATACCTCGACACTATCGTCGTCTTTGCACCCGATTTCACAACACACCTTGTACGCTTGAAACATGTCCTCACGTGTCTGAAGAATGCTCAGCTCCAACTGAATCTCAAGAAATGCCACTTTGCTGCTCAGAAGCTCACTATTCTTGGTCACATCGTATCAAAGTATGGCGTTATTCCCGACACGGCTAAACTACGCGCTGTCGCTGAATAACCCAAACCGACGACTGTAAAACAGTTACGCAGCTTCGTAGGATTGTGATCCTATACTTTCGTCGGTTTTTGCGCAACTTTGCCTCCATAATTTCCCCTTTCACCCAAATTTTAAGCAGTGCCAACGACATCTCGTCGTGGTCTTCTGAGTGTGATCACGCTCTTGTCACTCTTCGCTGTCTCCTGACATCACCGCCTATATTGCACCCGTATGATTCCATGGCTGCAACTGAGATCCATACAGACGCCAGCGGTGTCGGTCTTGGTGCAGTTCTCGCTCAACGCAAGCCTGGATCGCCTGAGTATATCGTCGCATACGCCAGCAGAACGCCCACCAAGGCTGAAGTAAACTACAGTGTTACCGAGAAAGAGTGCTTGGTCATACTTTGGGTGCTTGCCAAGTTTCGCCCATACTTATATGGCTGCACGTTTACTGTAGTTACAGACCATTATGCCTTACGTTGGTTGTCATAGCTGAAGGATCGATCAGGTCGCCTTGGTCGTTGGGCTCTGGGACTTCAAGAGTACGACATCTGCGTCGTGTACCGTTCCAGCCCCCAACATGCCGACGCTGATGCACTCTCGGGATCACCACTGCCCAGTAAGGCTGCCTCCATATTCTCTATAGAACACGCGGTGACATCGACACAATGTCCTCTGCACAGTGCGACGATCCATAGACAACTTTGCTTCCGGACGTTTTATCTGAGGTACCAACACTTCCAACCACTCGAACAATGCGACACCACGCTTCGCACTTCACCATTCGAAGTGGCCTCTTGTACTCACCAGATGGCAGGAAGTAGCTGCTCATTATTCCCTGAAAGCTGCTTTTTACAATCTGTGCATCATTTCACTCCGACCTGCAATGTGCTCACGCAAGTGTCTTCAAGACCTACGAACGTTTATGGAAGCGGCACTACTAGCGTGGGATGTTTACCTTTGTTCGACAATTTATTCGCGGCTTCCACGAGTGTCAGCGATGGAAAGAGCCACTGCATCCAGGTGCAGCTCCACTACAGCCACTTGTGTTCCCCGACTGCCCATTCGATTGAGTCGGAATTGATCTTTATGGACCACTGCCATTGACCGCGGCAGGTAACCGGTGGGCTGTTGTTGCTGTGGATCACCTGACACAGTATGCCGAAACCGCTGCTCTTCTTACTGCGACTGCTCAGGACGTCGCAGCTTTCATCATCAATCGTTTCGTGCTACGTCATGGCCCTCCTCGCGAACTCCTCAGTGACCGGGGCCGTGTATTTCTCTCTGACGGAATTCAAGCACTTCTCCACCAGTGCCATATTATAAACTGGATGAGTACTGCTTACCACCCTCAGAGAAATGGCTTGACTGAGCGGTTTAATTGGACCCTGGGTGACATGTTCACGATGCATGTTGCATCTGACCAAACGAACTGGGACCTGGCTCTTCTTTTTGCGACCCACGCGTAAAACATCGCTACCCAAGTCACCACTGGCTTTTCTTCATTCTTCCTTCTATACGGATGTCAACCATCGCATACAACTGACACTTTGCTGCCATACGCACCAGATACATCTGAGTGCATGACGGTGTCCGAAGCCGCCCGTCACGCCGAAGAATGCCGCCAACTAGCGAAGCAGTTTACTGCAGCCGACCAGCAACGCCAGAAAGAGGGCCGCGATTACGACCACCCTCCTGCCGCAAAGTTCTCCCTTGGAACCCTTATATGGCTGTATGTACCACCCTCTGCACCCGGTTTGTCTACCAAGCTACTTTCTAATTACCATAGTCCCCACCGCGTGGTAGAACGCACATCACCCATCAATTGCGCCATTTAAACGCTTACGCCGCTCGCTAACCATCGCCGGCGTGGACACGACATTGTTCACGTAGACCGCTTGAAGCCGTACTTCGACCCACTCGCTCTGCTGCCAGGTTAGATTGCCAGAATGGCTTCATCTTTCTTGTTGGGGGCAATTATAATGAAGGAATGATGACAACACCAGGGAACTACAAGCATCATCACCGATAAAGGCACACAGGATCGGCACTGGAGCATTACCATCTTTCCTTGTCCTGTCACCGGTCTTCCGCCTCTCCGTTAGGTTCGTTTAATAAACCTCCCTACACCAGTTGAAATATTTTCACCTGGGTAGATGACATCATAGACAATTTGAGAAAGCACAAAAGAATAACGATGTATGAGCTAACTGTATGAGAAATATCGTGTTTGTACTGTAGTCTCAGCGTGATCCTATTCATCATCATAATCATCAGCCTGACTACGTCCACTTCCGGACAGAGTCCTCTCCCATGTTCCACCAGTCAACTTAGTCCTGTGCCTGCTGCTCCCACTTTATACCCACAAACTTTTCAATCACATCTGCCCACCTAACTTTCTATCTCCCCCTAACCTACTTGCGTTCTCTGGGAATCCAGTCAGTTTCCCTAACGACCAGCGGCTATCCTGCCTATGCGCTACACTCCCTGCTCCTGTCCATTTCCTCTTCTTAATTTCAAATATGATGTCACATGATATGACGGTTAAGTAACTAGAAAAACAAGAATGGAGTGGAGCACATTTGGTAGGTACTCTCAAATTATGAGTGATAGATTACCACTATCCATCAAGGACAAGGCATATTACAGCTGCTTCTTGCCGGTGCTTATCTATAGAGCAGAAACCTGGAGACTTACAAAGAGGGTTCAGCTTAAATTGAGGACAACATAGAGAGGGATGAAAATGATAGGTGTAACTTTTATAGACAAGGAGAGAGCAGAGTAGATCAGAGTGATTCTATTACTGTGAAGTATTTTGGAAATTGAAATATGTTGGCTACTGTGCACATTCTGTTCCAACTTGTAGTGAATCTACACCACAGTGAAAGTGGAAGCAAGATTATCATATACATGAAGTGTTTCTTACCTTTTACTATATAACAATACAGTTGTGTATAGTATATGTGAAGTTTCTACATCACAAGTTGAGACTGTAGGAATTTAAGGGATCAAGTACTCTGTACATACCCAGTATCTGCTGTTGTTCTGGTAGAAAAAAAAAAGAAAAGTACCGTAGATTGTGTAACTATGCTTACACTAGCTGCTGAAAGTATTCACACATACACCTGTTCATGGCACATATATTAAAGCGCACACTCTGCAATGCAGTATGTTCTCTCCGCACATTTGGAGTGGGCAATATGTGTACACAGCAGAGGGGCAAAAATTGGTCTGCTGCTATACTCAAAATGAAGCGTGCATGATTGTGCATCTGAGATCTAGGTGCCCAATGTCTGTCTATAGAACAGCCAACTGTGATGCCCAAACTTTTGCTGATGGGTTGGGTGATGTTCTTTCGTGCTTCAGGGGCAGGCACTACTTTCATTGAGCTGACTGGAAATACAGACTCTAGCTTGTGATGGAATGAGCAATTAGGTGCATTTGGCGGTTTGCCAGCCACGTGACATAAATCAATAAAAAATTGGTAGCAATGAATCTATGACGAAGGAAATGACCACTAGTCCTGCTGCCACCTACAAAAATGCATTGCTCTGAACATTGAAGTTGTGCTGCTAGTTAGCTTCATGTTTGCAACCCGGAACTGAAAAGGGTCTCCAGAGCATGGGGGGTTCAATCACTTGTAGAGCAGTCACCAGGTGCCTGGACTTGTTGAAGGCGGTGTACTTCTTCAAGTATTCACAAGCATAGTATATTTAGGCAGAAGTTATCCGTAGGACTGCAGACAGGCGGCTTGCCATTTTGTTTGTTGCAGTACTGGTCTCCATAGCTACGTTGTCCCTCAGCTTCTAGATCCTTGGATGGCTGTTCAGCAACCTTAGGCCTGTGCAACATCGCATTTCTTGAACTAACAAATATGAGCATTTGTGCCTAAGAATTCACAGATGTCTTATTGCTATAAACCTTTGTTTCCTCCTACTGGCAGGAAGTTGCAGATGTGACAAGTTTGTAACCGTCCCCAGCACACACACATGCAGCCAGAGTTCACTTGGAGATCACAATTCACAGACTTGATTTCCACACCTTGGCAGGATAGCGAGACACTTCAGAGGTGCACAGATGCGTCTCCAATTTTTTCCTGGGGTACATCACCATTTCTCACGGGCATGTCCAGGGTGCTGTTTGCCGTTACCGTGTTTCGACATGATTCGCCCTTCTTGATGGTGTTGTTGCTACTGTTGCTACAATGGCTGTCGTTCACATGTGGTAGCATGGCAGTAGGCACCGCTGCTCTGAGGTTGCACCCAAGCAACTTTTCGATGAAGTCTTTGCCCAGTCTCCGAAAGGGTGCCTCAAAGGCAAGATAGAAAATGACAGCCATGCCCATGCTGATGGCCAGGTTGCCCGAAAAGAGATAGAGCTAAAAGAAGGAAAAAGAAAAAAATGAGTAATTGAGATTGAGAGTCGGTTATTTTTACTTCTGTTTAATAGTTTATTAAGGGGAGATGCTATTAAAACAATTTCTTCAATGTGTAGTATAGGGCAATGGAATATTTGCTGGGTGAATTCGCTTTTATGCTGATTTAAAACATATAATTAGTTTTAAATTAACCTAGCTGCATAGCCATCAATTTCTACCAAGACAATATGCAAACTACAGCTCTTTGTGAACACACTTTTTCTGCCACTAAAAACTTACGGTTATCAGTCATTAGAGGCTCATATGGCCCCAGTATAAATGTAAGATCTAAATAACTACAGTCAAACCTCGTTAGTGAATACCCACTTTAAGCATACTAACGGTTAAGACGTAGTTGCGACAAATCTTCAACCGAGTCTCATAGAGACTAATGCATTTGTGCACCGCTTAAGCCGTAGTGTTCGGCTTATGCATATACCAGTTAGTGACTGCCGGTTAGTGCGTACTAACTGGGTACTGCGCTAACATGTTGCGCCACTAAACTTTACTGCGTCGCTGAACTTGCAGACGCCATAATATACCGTGAACGGTTTTCCGTCGTGTTGATAAGTGCGGAGATCAGCCAATAGGTTTTTCCGATTTCCACGTATTTGTGGCAATGACATTGCGAGTAATTGTCGGAAGAGAAACAAGGGCGAAGTGGTGACTACCCGTAAATGTGCTGGTATGACTTATCGCCAACGAAAAGCCTTATCACAGTAAGGATCCCCGGTTATCTGCTCGAGTATGTGTGTGGTGTAGCGTCACTTTAGGCCTACTGCACGCTTTTAATAAGCGAATACCTGAACGCGCTTGGTCACCGATCACTGCGGCTTCGTTGTGCAGGACCATGTTCCAGCGTGCACTGCTTTACAGTACCGCACGCAGCTCGCGGTCGCGAAGTTTGTCGTAGGGGTCGCGGGCACCGAGAAACCTTACTGCATTATGCCAACACCCGCACCGTACAGCAAGCGTAGCACTGTTGTAACCATGCTGCATGCTTTTTATTCAGTGACAGCCCCAACGCGCCTTCATTTATTGCAAGAACCGCTAGAACATCACGGAGAGTGCATTGCTTGCTGAAAGCTTATCGTCACAGAATTAACCCAGCAGGCTACTCATCGCATCTGTGTATGGCCAGCAGCGGAGAGGGTGTACTCTACGGCCAGTGGATCAGCAGTCACGGTGTGCACCGAGTGAGCAAAGTGCTGCCCGCAACTAGCCATGCAGTAAACTATTTGGCTCTCTGCGACCGTACCGCATTCAAAAAAGGAAAACTGCGTCTGTTTTTGCTTAGAAGCACACCGTAGAAAAACTATCGTGGACAGCTGGTTGTGTCTGTTATGTCCCTCTATCACTCTACATATCCCGTAACGCACAGTAGTTACAAAATGCTCAATGGCGTCGCCACTGCGTGCTATCGAGTGGTTGTGCGACAGTTGGAAACTTTTCTGCACATTGGCAAAAAAAAAAGGCTTTGTGGTGGCCACTTTAGGCAATATATCCCCAGTTTATTCCTTTGTTGGTGGCGATAATGCATGTCAGGAGATGCAAATTCGTAGCTGGTGCGTTAATGCATAGTGCACTAAGTGCGTAGTTATGCCGCCATCTCTTGCAGGTACGTATTAACAGTGTTTCACTGTAACAAGAAAGTTTATACAAGAAATTTTACTGAACACAAATTTTAATGCAATAAATTTAAAAATTCTCAATCTATACTAATTGTTTATTTTGGGTTTATAATATTATATAATTAAGCTTTAAAGCAGATAACTGGACTCTCCACATGTCAAGGAATATGTGAGAAGCATTTTAACTGCCCATAAGAAGTCCAACATCAAGAAAAAACCAACTTCAAGAAAAAACAGTTTAAACATGAGAATGAAAGCTCATCTGAGTAGCTAAGATATGCTTTAGACAATATTTCTTCCATCATGAGAGCTTGGGAATCACAGTTATTTTTAGCATATGGCTTTGGTGAACACTTGTGAAATGCAATGGCAAGCAGCCAGGCTACTATTGCCAGGAGACATGGCAATGAGTTTAGTTTTGAATAGCCACCTTGTGCTCTTTCAAAGTTACTTTAACCTCCTACGATTTCAATTTCAACCTTGATTTTTTCGACATAAAAGTAGAGAAATGAACTTGTGAATGTAAGTAAAAACAGAAAACAGTGATTTTGGAGAAAAACTTTCGTTTTTCGAGTGACATGTCCTTTTATAATAAGCATAAATAATGCCTGCATTATTTAATTTATTAGAAACAACACATATCAAAATACCAAACAAAGCATGTGTGGTGCCCTTTCAGTTAATATTTAGCTTGAGTAATCACCTTCAGCAATAGTCTAGACTGCTATAGGCGCATACGCAGGCAGCAAACAAAAGCAGTCTTTCTGGACTGCAAGATTCTCAATAGCATTTTTCTTTTAATCCCAATCCACTCACCATTGACTTCCCAGCCTTTTCAAGAACTGTACCAACCTGCCCAAATGTTAAATGCTGTAATTTTACTCAGGTATCTATTTATTCCAACTTTTTCTATGGTGTCCTTACAGCGATTGTTCAATTGGAGAGTGTTTTATTACTATGTATAACTTTAATAGGTTTGTGCAACTATTCAAGCTCTTTGATTACTTTAATGAGTATTATATGCAAATTCACTTTGATCAGAACTTAAACTATTCGAAATTTCAAAGTATTCAAAATGAACGAATAAGTAATATGTAAGCCGTCCTCCCTGCAAAGATGGTTTCACAGCTATAAAGACACTGCTGTATCATGAATATACCTTTCCAGGAGAAATCTACACTGCCATCACAAAGTCTCGTTTGATGCTTAAACCAACGTATTACCTTTGCATCAATTCTTCCTTTTTGAAGTTTAAAAGCTTTTATGTCGGCCAATATGATCTCAGTAAAGTGAATTTTAAAGTGCAACTATTTTACAGGTTATCACTTGCATTCTACTGAAACTCAATTCATGCTACTATTCAAAGGTGCTTACACTTTTTTTTGAACCAAAAAGAGTGATGCCTGCACATGCACATTTTCAATGAAAAAAAAACTATTGTACAAATAGTTGGGTCATAATAAATATGCTAATTTTTTGCAATACATTATACATAAAATTCAAATTCAGCTCGAAGTTATTCAAACTAAATCACTATTCACTTCCAATTCGCTTCAAGTCTACATTTTACTATTTGCACAAGCATTCATTTTGCATTGGTCACAACTGTACCAATAAAGTAATTGTCTTGCAGCAGCAGTGTGTCCACAAAGCAGTTAATTGGTATACATGAAAAGTCTTAACTACCATGCAGGCACTGCGATACGAAAGATGTTTTTCCCAGTTATTCACTCTACTTGATTAGCAAAGATAGCCAAAAATGCACATGGGACACAGAAAAAAGACAACACGAAGCATTATTAACAGTTTTTAACTTAATGAAAGAATGCTGATTTTATGTAGGTTAGCAACATGTGTGCATCATAGAACAACAAAACAAAAGGATAAAACACACCAGGCTACATAGGTGAAATTAAATGCATACTATAACACAATTATTTGCATTAAAGCGCTATTGAAACTGACTTCTCACCATGGACAAGTGGCTTCCAAATATCCTTTCGCGAATGGTCCACATTTGGAAGTCCATTACCACTGGATGTGCCAGGTACACACCATATGTGAGCCGGCTCAGTGGGAGCCACGCCTTCCATGAAAGCACCCGATTCACCAGCGCTACAAAGTAAGGAGTCTGCTTGAGATAAGGCATAATGTTTCCCACCAGACTTTGGAGGGGGAGGGAGGGATGAACGTCAGTTTCATCATGAACTTTTGAAGTATGCATAAATAGTGGAAACTGAAAATAATCATCAGTTATCTGAAGCACTTTCAGAATAAATAATTTAGCCAGGTTCATGTACGCTATGTTACTATAGATTACCAACTAGCCAAATCCCACACATACCTCTAAGGTTCGTAACATATAGCAACCACTTGAATTAATTGTGTTTGGATTTACTGTGCAATATATTGTGTCCTTGTATACTCTATAGTGATTATATACAGTGTTTGATTATATACAGTGTTTTATATACAGTGTTTGTTACAACCAATGGCATTACCTATACACATCACTTTTGCTGACTTAGTGGTGCACTTGTCACTGTTTCAGGACTGTAACTGGCGATTGTACTTGTGTTAAAAATTTTTGCTAATGTAAGGTGTCATGTCATAGTTACTTTTCATTTCAGTTATTCTAGTTATGCTACTTTCTACGTAATCACGAGCTCTTCGAGAAAGTGACTACAGGAGTACCATATAGTGCTGGGGTTTCAAGCACATAGTCCATTGGCTACATACGTTTCTGTAGCAGCCTTAAAATGTATATATCTTTGCAAAATGGTACTGGCATTCTTTGCTTACTTGTTGCAATGAATGATATTTTGTTCAGGTAAGCTACACATACGTGACTCGTCTGAAGCATTTTTTATAAGGCATCCACATAATCAAACTAAATCATGCGACAGAATCTCATAGTTCATTATCAACATCTAGATCTGAGCCGATTTAAAGATCATTGTGAATGTGTTTCAAGAATCCTGATGCCGAATCCGCTTCAGAAATGATTCATATGCAGTGAACTTTCACTTGAGTGACCTTCAAGGGACCCACTGGAAATGGTTCATTTAATTGAAGGTTTACTAAACTGAATTGGACACAGTGTAATTCATGTCCAACATGCAATTGGTTCTGAAAAAAATTCTGTAATTTTTACTCAGACTGGGTACTTTAAAGCGTAAGAAGAGACAAGCGGTCCAGAGAGTTATTGTGCAGCGCCTCTGGCACAACTTCTTGCTGTCTCGCAACTTTCTAATATATTCAGCAGAGCCTCAGCTTCAGATATTGAATTTGAACCTACCTCAGCTATTACAACATATTTGTCGCACTCCTTGGCTTCGAAGGGACATTATAAATCATTTCTTAATTTGATAGCTATGGGCAGCAACTGAAGCGCATGCGGCTTATGCATGCACAAGCGTTGTCACACTGGTCCCGATGAATGGGCGATTTAAGAGTAGCTAGCATCGGCTACATCAGTGCCGCAGAGCACAAAACTTCATTGTATTCGTCTAGAATAATGAGCTCAGGTCCACAGATGAAGTTGAACCAAGGTAATTCGACTGAAATACTCAATATTGATTAATTGATATGTGAGGTTTAAAGTCCCAAAACCACCATATGATTATGTTCTTTTACGTGCACCCAAACCTGAGCACACGGGCTTACAACATATTCGCCTCCATCGAAAATGCAGCCGCCACAGCCAGGATTCAATCTCACGACCTTCGGGTCAACAGCTGAGTACCTTAGCCACAAGACCACTGCGGGGGGAGGGGGGCGAAATATTCAATAATCAGAAGTGTGTTTAGTAAAAAGATATTTCCATGGATTGCATAGGAAAAGCACGGGAAATTTTGTAACAACCCATTATTCTGAAGTGTTTTTTAAACGAAAATTCGTTCAATTGAGAGTTCACTGTATAAGGTATGAGAAATGCATTCTTTCAAATGACAGTACTGTTATTTTAAAGAACATGAGATGTGTAAAGCTCCATTCACCTCACCCCCACTTCAGCCTTTTTTCACCGACCCTTGCGGGACTAAGTGTCACAGATGTGGCCAACTATTTGAGGTGAATTTAAGAGCCCTTATCTAGTGCTTCTATCTGGGGGCTATTTAGCAGAGGTGCACTAAGAAGTGCAGCAATTTGTTGTCTGATGACAGCTTTGAAGTACAGCTTTACTTGTTACTAGTTATATTTCAATATGCTTTCAATATGTTACTAGTTACACATGTTTTCAACATGTTACTAGATATTTTGCAATGTGTTATAGTTATTAGAAGTTTGTCCCTAGAATACACTAATAGTGTTTATCAAAATGGTTTTCAAAATAAGTTGTTATGTTTCCGGTAAGCAAATGCAGCTACATTTCTCGGTATTGAACACTTGAGTGAACAAAGCTGACCTTGAACACCCTCACGAGAACACTCACACTTTTTGCAGTAATTGCACAGGTTGTACAAGTTGAAGTGACAAGAATTTCATTATGTGTGCAAATACATATATTAGGGCTCTGCAAATGTTTAAAATTTCAAATATATCTCGAATAGTGTTCCCTATACAATTCAATTCACACTGGAATCTGTACTACTCAACTATTCAAACTTTCCACAGACATGTACAATAAATCTTCAAATAAATGTGACCCCTTCAGGTTTTCACTATCGTTCATCTTGTTACAATATCTTGCTGTGAAAAAGCGGTTTTCGAGACTATGCTAAGGTGGAGTCTTTCAAAAAAGTCGTGAGATTGGATACGACTCCGTCTGAACTATAACACACTTTACCTCACGACAATTATGTATTCTGGCAAAGTGGCCTTTCAAGTTTTGTTAAATACGCGAAGTTATTGACTAAAGAGAACGCTTGTTCTAGCAGTGAAATGATGAATGTGCCTGAGTTGGAAACCTAATTATTGCTGTTTTGGACTGGACACTTGGGAAGAAAGCCCGAAAAATCAGAAACCAGCGATTTTTCAGCACCCAAAATTTCAGATGTGCTCATATAGAAGTCAACAAGGCAGATTCAGAACTCCAGAATGGAAGGGAACACATCATCTGCCATATCACTTGGGCTTCCAGAGAAGTTGAAAGAGGAGGATAGGCTGAGAAAATGGCAAGTTTGTCTTTCATTGTAAAGTGTTGTTGGTGATATTTTTAATGCACAAATATTGTGCTAAATACAAGTAGGCCTCTGCATTGCTTCAGTCTCAATAAGACAACTATGAAACACTACCGCACCAGCGCTTCATCAACCTATTAAAAGAAAAACACTTTTATGTTGTCATCTTCTAAGAATATTGTCACGGGGTCGAAACGTGGCCGAAGACAGGAGACTTCGTGTTGGGATTTAACTGTTTATTTGGGCGAACCTGTGCCCGGTAAACGGAAAGTCCAATTACAGCAGTAGTCTTGCACAGATAGCAGTCTCGGACTGATAGCGGCGAACGGAGCGTCGGCCTTCGATCAACAACTCACAAGCGGCGAAGCGCATTGGCATTTATACTCTTGCTGTCGAATGTTCTAGCGCTATCGCTGGCGGTGGCGTAGGTTCCAGGACAATCTGTACCGTTCGCACAGTGGGCGTGATCTTATCGAAATGATCTACTACAGTCCGGAACCTTCTCGAAAACTGCAGGCGCTTTGCACTGAGAATCGTGTGGTGTTTTGGGACGATAACAAAAACTTGGGAAATAGAATGTGGCATTGCCCCCCTCTGAAAAAATGCATCGTCCCGATGCTTTAACTAAAGATGAAGGTACAATAATAATGCAAGAAAGTACACTGATTAAATTACGATACAACAATAGTACAAAAAAACACTGTTTTTCAGTTTGTTAACGCGCATGAAACGGCTTGAGGTGCGTGACATGTACGACTTCAGGTCGCGATCGGCGTCGTTAAAAGTTCGTGATGCCGTCGGGGACAACCTCGTAATCAAGTGGGCCGGGACGTCGAACCACCCTGTACGGTCCGAAGTACCATCGCAGAAGCTTTTCACTTAGTCCATGTCGGCGTATCGGCGTCCACACCCAAACACGTTCACTGGGCTGGTATTCCACGAAGCGTCGTCGAAGGTTGTAACGGTGGCTGTCGGTCGTCTGTTGATTCTTGATACGGAGACGCGCAAGTTGTCGGGCTTCTTCCGCGCGTTGAAGGTACTCGCTCACATCCAGGTTTTCTTCGTCGGTGACATTGGGTAACATGGCATCGAGCGTCGTTGCCGGGCTCCTTCCGTAGACCAATTTGTATGGAGATATCTGCGTCGTCTCCTGCACCGCCGTGTTGTATGCGAAGGTCACATACGGAAGAATGGCGTCCCACGTCTTGTGTTCGACATCAACGTACATTGACAGCATGTCGGCGATCGTCTTGTTAAGCCGCTCGGTGAGGCCGTTGGTCTGTGGGTGGTACGCTGTCGTCTGGCGGCGGTTTGTTTGGCTGTATGCCAAGATCGCTTGAGTTAAGTCGGCAGTGAATGCCGTTCCTCTGTCGGTGATAAGGACCTCCGGGGCACCGTTACATAGGACGATATTTTCGTTGAAGAACTTAGCTACCTCGGATGCACTGCCTTTTGGCAGGGCTTTTGTCTTGGCGTAGCGGGTGAGGTTGTCGGTAGCTACCGCGATCCACTTGTTTCCGAAAGCCGACGTCGGGAACGGCCCCAGTAAGTCCATACCAATCTGCTTGAAAGGTCGGCAAGGTGGATCAATTGGCTGCAGAAGTCCCGCTGGCCTTGTCAGCGGTGTGTTGCCTCGCTGACAGTCCCGGCATGTCCTCACATAACGAGTGACGTCGGTGGTAAGACGTGGCCAGTAGTACCTTTCTTGTATCCTCGCGAGCGTGCGAGAAACACCGAGGTGCCCTGCCGTCGGATCGTCGTGCAGGGCCTGCAGGAGTTCTGGTCGCAGAGCTGAAGGCACCACAAGGAGGTACTTAGCTCGAAGCGGTGAAAAGTTTTTCTTTTGTAGAAGACCGTTTCGTAGAAAGAACGACGCAAGTGCGCGCTTGAATACCTTCGGGACTTCGGTGGTCCTGCCTTCGAGGTATGCTATTAGGGTTTTAAGTTCGGGGTCGGCCCGCTGTCGTTCAGCGAAGTCGTCGGTAGTTATCGTTC